CATGGAAATGCAAAAGTTGAAAATGCGGAAACATGGAAATGCAAAAGTTGAAAATGCGGAAACATGAAAATATGAAAATGCGAAAACATGGAAATGCAAAATTGAAAATGCGGAAACATGGAAATGCAAAAGTTGAAAATGCGGAAACATGGAAATGCAAAATGTATTTTATGACGTCACGTCTGGACCACCGTAATATATAAGTAAATCAAATTATTTACAGAATTGGTAAGCTTCTACTTCCAATGTCCAAAAATACAATTATACGTAAGGTCAATAGTATACAAATTTTTGGATAGTGATACTTACACCTTTGATGTCAGTTAACCGAAGTTTTGGTCTCATGATACTGTAACTATAAAGGCCGTTTTCCACTTCGCCCGAATTGTACCGTAACGTACCGGTGAGCACGCGCAGCTTGAAGATGCCTTTTCAAATTTACGTACTTCCAGTTGATTCGTGTATCAAAATAAAAGTTCGTCGCAAGTCAACTTTTTAGCGTTCTAAGGAAGTATTACCAATCAACGTTCACTAAATTTTGAAATTTAAAATTTGTTTTGATACGGTCTTAAGGCCCTGTCACACTATTGCGTATCGTACTAGCGTATGCCAGCGTATGAAAATATCACTCATACGCCGGTATATACGCTGACATACGCCAGGAGTACGTTAGGCATAGGTTGTGTAAGTTTCAAGCACGGTCGCATACGGTGGCATACGCTGGCATACGGCGAGGCAGAAAATTTTTTTAAGCATGTTCTTAAATTTTGTGCGTATCGGACGTATGCTTTATACGATAAGCATACTCTAGGCACACGCTAAATACGCTAGAGGTACGGTACTCATACGCTGGCATTTCAAAGGATTTTTTGCGTATGAAAATTATTTCACTGTAATTTTCATACGCCGGCTGCTCATACGTTTCTCTCATACGCAATAGTGTGACAGGGCCTTTAAGTCTTGCACTGTTTCTATAGGGCTGGAGACAATTGAAGTCCACATTATCCTCTCAAACATTACGAAAACAACTAGAAGATATCAAAGCATTGTGCCTGGACATACGTCAGTCTAGTTGCGTTTCAACCATCGACAAATACCTACGTCAAATATCAAATGCAAATTACGGCGTAACATTTGGTCTCCAGGAGGAAATCATCAATACACTGGCTGCTATTAAATACACATTCTCTTGCCTCAAACGAAAACAACGTGTGATAACAACAGTATCTGAACACTGTCAAAAAGGAAATGAAAATTTTAACAAAGTATACCTAGAAGCCGTCCAAGATTTTTTTCCAAATAAAGATCTATGTACCGGGCTGGCAGGCAAGGATTATACTACCAAGGATGTTGTTTTGAAACAACTTCGAATTTTGGCATTTGAAAAAGGATTCTATTCCAGTTGTGAATTAAACAACAGAGAGGTTATAACTAAGACATGCTTAGACTACAGTACAAAGGGAATTACATATGATCTCCTGCCACAAGAAAGATCACGACTCCTTAACGACTGTAAGAAAATTGCACCAGGCCAACTGGGTGAGTATCAACTGGTGTAGTAAGATTTATACTAGGGCGGTCTGGCCAACTAAGATAAAGAAAAGAAACTAATTCGTCAGGTAATTCGTGGTCTATAAACAGTGCTGAAAACAGAAGAACCATCCATAAAGGAGAACATCGAACTTGAGTGGGTTTATGATCCCATTATACGATATATGTGTATAAATACGACTTTATTTGACCATATGGTTTATTTGTTTCTAATAATTCGAGCTCGAGTTATATATCTAACTGTTCTATTTGAAACGTAAGGGTCCACGGTACAGTGACGGTAGGTAGTTTTCTAAATCTCAAAACGATTAATAATTGCATGGCTAAACCTTTTCCCGCTAAATCTGATTAAACCCACAACAATATCCCTAATCTGCGTGGCAGACGGTCAGCCCGCCGTGGACCAACTAAAACCGGGCGAGGCGAAGAAGGGAAGACCGTGGCTATGTTTCTATATTTCATTTTTCTTCACTTATCAATTTTCTTCTTCGCCAGGCAAAATCCAATGTAATCCTACAGTTTGTCAAAATGGAGGTAAATGCCAAGAAAAATTGAACACTTATGTCTGCGCATGTCCCAAACGTTTCAAAGGCCAACACTGTGAGATAGACACAGGTGAGTGATGTCCGTAGAAATACTAATTTCAATCAAAGCAATTATTAATGATAATGTATCGATATATTAGGTCCGTCTGCCAATTTCATTAACATAATTATGGTAGCATGCATATGATTTTGGTCTGTTTATCTGACATATTTAAAACTCACGTACTCACTTCCAATCACAATTACAGAATTGCAGAGGATTTTAGGTTAAGAGCTGATCAAAGTTAAGTTTACAAAACCCAATACAGCTGAGCGTCAAGTAATACAAAAGAAAATGCATTCCATAGATGATCACAGGCAGGAACAGTGGTGTCAAGTAACGAAGTAAATGTACTTCGTTACTGTACTTGAGTACTATTTTTGAGAAGTCAGCCATGTAACAAAGTAAACTTTTTCTGCAGTACTTTTACTTGGAACGAAGTCGTTTTACTTCGTTATTTTCATTTTGTGACGAAGTAATTCGTTATACTTTCTAACTTTTGTTTAGTTTACGTGATTTATTCCTGATTTATTTTAATTTTGGGATACGTAAAAGGACCTCTATATGCGTCTGGGATCTCTCGTGGCTTACTTATAAGCATTATTTATTTAATGGATATCTTATATTTTCAATGGGGTCTGAAAAGTAGACCATGCTGTGAATGATATTATGATTAGTACTTTTACTTTTACTTTTTACTTCAAGTATTTTTTAAGGATACGTTGTACTTTTTACTTAAGTACGTTTTGCCTCCAGTACTTTTTACTCTTACTCAAGTCATTTTATTGTTAATTACTTCTCCTTTAATTTTACTCAAGTACAAATTCAAAGTAATTTAGCACCACTGGGTAGGAAAGCAACAAGTTTACTTCACTACTCCAGTTACTCTTCGGCCTCCTAACTTTGACGTTTTCCTTGAGAGTCGACGTCTGTAAACTATCTGCAAACTATCAGTTTTTGTGATATTGCACTGCACAAAATTCCATTAGATAAAATTAAGCCAAACTGAAAAAGGTTTGGCCTAGAAAGCAACCGAGGGAAATTTCCTTTTTTACAGCGAGTCAAAGTGGTAGCGAAAGTGGTGACAATAATGAAAACGGTAGCGGCAGTGACACTGACGGCGGAAGCGACAGTGAAACAGGAAGTAATACTGATGGAGGAAGTGGAACCGGAAGTGACGAAGAAAGAGGAAGTGATACTAATGGCGGCAGTGAAATTTACAGCGATACTGATGATTTCGCTTCGCGATTCGATTAAAATATTTGTCATGCGTGTGCGTTTGTTATACCGAAGTGTACATTTTTCGGTTTAGAATGTTCCATTCCATCACGAATCGACCATTTGATGTAACAACTATAAATTATTGTAAAATTAAATCTTATAAATCCATAAGCACCCAAGTCCATTCTTGTCACTCCGAATGAACGTATTAATTGTTAGACATAGAACTATTTCAACATCTGTACCGAAAATTGTTGTTTATCTTCTATAAAGGACAAGGTGCTTCGGTGACGCAATCGTCAGAGCCTAATTTCACCTCTGAGGTCGTGGGTTCGTCTCTCGCTGCAGACACACGGCACTTATTGATATGCTTAACATGTTTGATGTGCTTATCTACCGAAATTCGTGCATTTTTAGTATCAGTTGGGTGGATCGATTGATTGATTGATGGATGGACTGGAGTTAATACTCATTTTGTAATCGCTTTATCGAAGTATACGAGCAGACTACTTAGTAATTCAGTTGAGTTAGATATGTAATCACTACTAAATTGTTCTAAAATGGGTCAGTTGTTCATCTTTCCCATAAAGTCAGGGGCGCAAATGCAATTTTTTTCGGGGGGGGGGGTGCGCACAAAGGACCGATTTTTTTCACGAGGGACCGACTTCGCGGCTCGTGCACACTATATAATTATTATTACGATCTTATAGAATAAATAGTAACGTGGTCATTTTTCAATTCTTGTAATTTTAATATATACAACAACTACAACAACAGAATATCCTTAGCTGACTCTTTTCAAAAATAAACTAAATAGCAGTGGGACATTGGTTCTGTTATTCGGACTGGTAATCGGTGATGTCCGTGGACCGTACCCGGCAGGGTTTAACAATATGTTTCAAAGTTTAATTAATGTGATTAGAAGCGAACTTTCTCTAAGCCTCATTTAAATGTAATAATTTTCTTTTTAGTAACGACCAGAAGGCTTTTTTTAAAAAAATAATACAATTTATTAAATTTTTTTTTAAAAAAAGCCTTCTGGTCGTTACTAAAAAGAAAAGTTTAATTAGGCTTCCACTCTTCGGCAAATTTTGCCATTTCGTGCTATTGTTCCCAGTAAACTGCGAAACGACGATCTTGTCTAAAAGTACACACGAGTGACCACGAGTGACCACGAATGACCACGAGTGACCACGAGTGACTACGAATGACCACGAGTAATTTCTGTGTTTAAAAATCATGAAATAATAATAAAAACTATTTTAAGGTGGCTCCCTAAGGTTTTTGCATTATACTGCACTATAGTATCCAGAAAACGCCTGTTACGTTTCTTCACTTTACATAACATGAAGACGAAATTTATTGGACACATTGACAATGCTCTCCTGAACATTGCAATGTGGTACTTTTGTGCTGAAAGTCCGTTACCATGGCAACAGCGTGCTTATGATAAGGCTCAAAATTTGTCTTTTTTCGGCCATTTTTAAAATCCCTTCGGGAAATTTTTTTTAGTTTTTCGACTATTGTACACGTCAGTCTACAGGAACATAGCAAAGCATCTGAAGTTGGGGGGGGGGGTTGGGTTGTCGGAGGATTTTACCTGAAATTTGAATTTTTAATAAATATTTACCTAAAGTGTAATAATTATAATAAAGCTTTTTGTGATTGACTTGCACTGTCATACTGGCGTTTTCTAAAGCAAATTCGCAAACAAATTGGATGCAAATCGACTCACACAAATAATTACTTTATTACGCAAATTTTACCTGAAAATATCAAAATTTTAACTGGAATATTACCAGATTTTTGTCTGAGTTTCACAGTTGGGGGGAAGGGGGAGGGGGGTTTTGCACGTCACATCTCACAAAAATTGCCAAAATTAAACCTAAATTTTTCCCTTTTCCTTTGGTAAATTGTTTTAAAACTTTGCACATATAATTAATAATTGTAATATCCTTTTTTCTCAAAATTTTATTGCCGGGAATAATCTAAGAGACGTTCCATAGAATTTTTTAAAATTGAAGAAAAAAATTATTATACGAGAAAGATCTTTTATGCAAATTTTTAAAACGGCCGGAAAAAGACAAATTTTGAGCTTAATTATCCAAACACGCTGTCACCATGGTAACGGACTTTCAGCGCAAAAGTAGTAAATTGCAATGTTCAGGAGAGCATTGTCAATGTGTCCAATGAATTTCGTCTTCGTGTCTTGTAAAGTGAAGAAACAGGGGTTTTCTGGATACAAAAGTGTAGTAAATAGATTTTTATTATTATTTTATGACTTTTAAACACAGAAATCACTCGTGGTCATTCGTGGTCACTCGTGTGTTGTACTTTTAGACAAGACCTTAGTGAAGGCCCTGTACCCGGAGTGAACGCCTGAGTAGGCGTCTTGTTATTATTATTATACAACTTGCAATTCCTCAAGATGTCTGATATACGCAACACGTGCTTCTCCTCAACAAAAATACAGACTTGCTGCTTCTTATACAGATATTACACGACACACTCCTTATCAGGGTTTTTCAGTGACTGTTTACATTGTGAATAGACAGATAGACAGAACCGGAACTGACGTGAGCAGACCGAGGTAGACTGTGAGCGTACAAACGGCTACCAATGGTACGGATCGACAACATTTTTGAGGTCTCCCTTATAGCCACACACAAGCTTTACCAGCAGATTCACGGATCGACATATCATATTTTCCGATGGTGAATTCGCAGTCCATCCGTTACCAATGGTACGGATCGACAACATTTTTGAGGCCTCCCTTAGCAACACACACGCTTTACCAGCAGATTCACGGATCCACATATCATATTTTCCGATCGTGAATTCGCAGTCCATCCGTTACCAACGGTATACGGATCGACGTTCAGTCTTTACCAATCGTATGACAAAACAACTCTTCCATCCGTAGCCAAAATTTCACGAAACGAACGATCCGTATGCATGCGACAGTATTGGACAACCATCGACGATCTGGACTTCAATTTTCCCGCTCCCCGCCAACCATGGTAGAGCCTCGTGGGAGTCCCAACATTTACAGGCTTCCTACGCCCCTGTGTAAGATATCGTATTCACATCAAGATTTACTTCATACATTTTACATCTTACTCGTTTAAAGTGCATTATTTACGAGTTAATTCAGCGAGCGCAGGGTATATGTGAACCAGGCTGAACTAAATGAATGCATTTAAAATATATGTACATATAAATTACTAGATACATATTAGTCTAATTAACTTAAGAAATAATATAGAACGTTTTCGTTCTCAGTGAATGAGATTCAAAACAAACACCAGTTCTACTTAGTTACAGGTTACTGTACACCTTCATACTTCATACCAGGATGTTAGCCAGAAAACAAATTCGGAAAGCCTGGTCCTTACTACGATGTAAGCACAAGCAAGCGGAACGCTTTGCCTTTGATGTTCTTAAGACCGTTTTCCACTTACTTCAACTGTATCGTACTGAAGTGGAACTAATGACTTCGACACAAAAGAAAATACTACGTTACAATACGGTTGAAGAGGAAAACAGCCTATGTTTATGTTGTCCTCACTGTGTCCTCGTTGTGCAAGATGAAGCACCAACTTCCTACGTCATATGCATAATGATTTATCCCTAAAAGCTGTATATCTTTAATACGACTAAACACAATCAGTAGAAAACCTACAAGGGTGTTTGTTGTTGTTGTGAACAAATATCGTGCTCATTCATTTTGAGCGAATTTATTTGATAGTGACAAAATTATATAACATTTTAAAGTACGTCATTATATGCATATGTGACGTAAGAAAGTTGGTCCTTTGCATATCATGCAAAATGAAATATCTCCAAAACGAAGCAAGAAAATAAAAATGTGTCAAAGAAGTTACTCTACAGTTTTCAATGATCTTTCAAATTAGACTAAGAATAACACAGTCAATTTTCGAGTCATATGCACTTTAATACCAAGGACAAAGATCAAATTTCGATTTTCCAACCAAGATTGACAGAAAGATTACAAAGTGTGCATGAAAATAGTCTTTTTAAACATCAAATTTACAAATTTGAAAATCAATGCATAATGTAGGTAAATAAGCGGTCACAAAATAAATTTTAAAATATTTATCAAGAAATAACGTTTCGTTCATGGCTCCTTTATGCATATGCTGCGCATTGATTTTCATCATACGATAAGTTTTAACTTATGGCTTCATCGCTCACAAAAATTCGATTCAAAATGTTTAACGCGACCTTTTCTTATCTAGCAAAATCTTCTTACACGTAATTAGAAACCTATAAATTCATGATACAGATCAATAGAATACTGAGAAAAACTCTAATTCAAAAGTCACCAGCCAGAGCTGTGAAAATGCTGCTATTTCAAATGTTGTGCTTATGCTTATGCAGCGTCGTAGTCAGGACAAGGCTTCAGCTAGGCAAGATGTTGATTGGCTGAGCCAAAAGAAACCTTTTCACAGATATTGTCTTGCGTAAAAAAATACAAGTACATTTTAAGCTAGATGATGGCATCCTCGCAAAACTGATCTGGTCCCCAATTCTTCTTGAGTAAAGTTTCAAAGTTGAGCAATATTAAATGTTATTTTTGGCCGAACTAAATTGGGAAACTGCTAGGTAGACGACGCTCATAGCAGGAAATAATGGTGGATCCTCCGATCTTGGCATCTAGGATACCAGACTTGGCATAGCTCAGTTAGGTAAACGACGGTCATAGCAGGAAATAATGGTTGATCTTGCCATCTTGGATCCCAGACCTGGCATAGCTCAGTTAGCTGGCAAAAAAATTCGGGGCCATTGCATATGATGCTAACAGGCACAGAAAATAATTTATTAGGAAGAATTTTAGTGAGCTCGGCAGAACATTACATAGCCATAGGATCCCAGAAACAAAAACATTAGAGACCTTACGATGACGGCAACGTGACGACGACGGCTATTCACACAATGAGATTCATAATATTTAAGAAAATAATTGAATAATTAATATCCCACGGGAGTTTGAGACGTCGTCCACGGTCTGCTTACAACAGAAAACTACAGAATTTTACGTCTTGGATAAAACGTCTGCATTTCAAGATACGAGAAGTGATAGCAAATTAGCTCAGTATATTACAGTATATACAATTACTTTATGGTTTCCGTGTTTGGATGGCCTGATCCAAACACGTGGGAATGTTGCGAGAGTTAAGAAAAGCTCGAGCAACTTTCCCAAGTGTTTGGATCAGGCTATCCAAACACGGAAACCATAAAGTAATTGTTTTATAAAATAACAACAAAGTTTAAAATTCCCGCGAAGGCACTTTAAATTTATCCAAACACGGGGTTTCGACCAATCAGAGCACGCGTTATATACATGTTATTTTATAATAGAACTTCCTCAACAATAAAGCCACTATTTCAAGTTAACCAAATGGTATTAAATTGATATGATCAATAATAGTTTACAATTTTTTGTTTGAATGATTTTATTCTGGCTGTTGTCGTTACGTTGCTGTCCTACATCGTAAGGTCTCTAATATTTCCTGCTACGACGAGGTTATTGGGAAGACGGCGCGTATAACATCGAGTTTTTGACTGTAGCTAACATCCTGCAAACACGTGACCCGTCAGACTGATGATATATCTGTCTGTTATAGAAATCGTGCCGTTGACTGAAACGGAACATATAGTATAGCTTCCGCTATTTGTCTCCGTATATTAAATTAGTTGTCCTTCGACTTCGTTACGTCACTGTATCTGTTTTGTCCTTGAAGAAAAACAAAGTATTCTTAAACTTTTTGTCGTTCGGTGAGAGAAAACCGTTATGTCCAAGGATGCCGGAACGAAGAGAGGGCAAAGGGGGCAGACTTTCGTCGAAGGGCACTTTTGAATTGATATATATTAAAGGACGTTTACGAAACATCTGGAGTTTAACGCTGCCATAATCACGTTTCTGATTTGTAAAAAATAGGGAGGTCTGCGGTTCTCCCCCAGAGGATTTTGATATTTTTGAAGCTCAATGACTGCATTTCTGGCACAAAAGAATTCAGCCAAAAATGCCCAAAATGACTGTTGTCGTACGCGCAATTTGAGCTACATAGAGGCTCGTTTAAATCAAGTTCTTTCAAGTAATTTCACTTTTTATATATTGTTGTCGCTTTACAGTTACAGCCCTCCTTCTCGGCCAAATTTTTTTCAAAGGTCTTTGCGAAAAATATGAGGTGACACGCACGTTAACAGCAAATTGGAACAACCCTGGAATCATATAAACTTAATTTCCATACATTTCTTACAGTTTCCCGCAAAAGTTTGTTATATCATATAGTTTATATAGTTCTATTAGTAACAAGAACGAATTCTTTCTATTAATAACAAATATTTTCCTTTGATCAAAAGGCCACCTTCGCCCCCTTGCCCCTCCTGGTAAAGGGCAAGAGGGGCAGCTGCCCTTTCTGCCCCCCAGTTCCGGCTTTCCGGGTTATGTCTCAATGCTTTTCTCACAGTCAACGCTCAACCGAAAGTCGTGGGCTAGCTCAGTGAGATGGTTTCCTGAAATTCCGAAAGTTGACTGTTGTGGGAGGGGGTAAGCTCCAAACTAACCCTCCTATCGCAGCCGTTGCTCCGTGATCAGATACGAGCCATTAGTTGGTGCCAGAGGCGGACTCAGACTCGATCAGGTTGAGCTGCGAACTTTGTAATACATGCTTCAGGAAAGTATGTCACGCACAAGAAAACGAGGCTCTCCAGTCAAACTGACATACTTTCCGGACGGTTGTAATCGATTTGGCTCTCAGTTGCAAGTATAAAGATGATTAGCACACAACCCCACTTTAATATTTACCTTCTTTTTCCGTTTCTCTTTCTTTTTCTTTTTCTTATCTCCATCTTCGTGTTTTTTCTATGATCAAATAGTGAATACATTTCAGGAGAAGACGCAGAAAATGATATACAGTATGTGGAAAAATAAAGATATAGAAATTGGCCGATTTCTATTCCGCAATCAGGCAGACGAATTTCATTAACTCGAAAGGTCGGTGCCAGTCTAGGTAGAACGATAACTAGCTGTCTGACAATTCCCATTATAGACTAATTTTTTTATCTCGGCAAAAAATATATATTCCCGGAAAGAGCATACTAAAATGAATAAAATTGCAAAGTTTGGTTGCGAAATGTTGTAAAATGCAGAAAATATAGCCTTGCCAAGTTTGCAAATTTTGCGTACTTTTGTGTTGCGTGCGGAAATTGCTACCACATTTGGGCCGAAAATGTTAGCAGTTTCCGCATGCAATACAAAAGCATACAAAATTTGCAAACTTTTCAATGCTATATTTTCCGCATTTCCTCAGGTATACATAAAAATTGTATTCGCTTCAAGTTTATTCTGAACTTGGTGGGTTCTTTAACTTTCGGTATAATATATCATTTATAGCCCTCCACTCGAGGATTCGTCGAAATATTATACCTCAAATTCAAATTGTCCAATGAAAAAACAGCATTTGTACCACGTGATAATGTGATTTTTTACGGTATTTCACTCAAATTCATGATTTCGCAATGCAGCGTGAGATACTATAATATCCCACGGCAGATCCAACGTGGGATATTATAGTATCCCACGCTCACGCGTGACGCGTGGACACCACGCTCTGAAACAATATGGCGTTCGCGAGCTGTTGTTTGTAATTTCGTACAGAAGATTTGATTTAACCAAAGATTTTCAAGATGTATGTTACCTTTAATGATCCAAAGGATACATGCTCAAATATTTTAAAGAGGAAACGTCAAAAACTCAGGTATACATAAGAAATTAAAAATTGTATTCGCGTAGTTAATATTCAGCAAGTTTTAAAGTTTATTCTGAACTTAGTGAGTTCTTTAACTTTCGGTATAATATATCATTTATAGACCCGGAACGAGGGGGATTCGGTGTAATATTTCCCTCAGTGATGATATTTTCCTCGGGGCAAAGCCCCTCGGAAAATATCATCACTTCGGGAAATATTACGCCGAATCCCCCTCGCTGCGGGTCTATAAATGA